CCCCCCCCCCCCACCCCCGACCAGCTGTCACCGTGGAATGTGGGTGGAGTAACTTGCTCCAGAGGTGAAAGCCAGGGGCCTGGATGCCATCAGAGCCCACCATTTCTCACACCCCCATGTCTGCCCACTGCTGAGCTGGGATCAATCAGAAGACATTGAAGTTCCTGCGCAGTTCAGACCTTTGAAAAAATGTCATCCGCAGAAGGCAGAAAGCAGCGTGGATAAACCTCTCAATCAGTTTTTCCCATTGTCTTGAGCAGAGAGGAAAGGGGACAGACTTTACTTTCTCTCTTTGGTGTCCTGAAACTTACATTTCATTGCTTATTAAAAAGAATCGAGGTAGCCCAGACCAGGGAGTCCCACCTGATTTTCTGATGGGGATTGTGTGTTACCTATCTTTGTATTCTAAGCGAGTTAAGGGTCTTGCTAGCTGCTGTAGCAGATACCTTTCCAAATGGCAGTGGCTTAGCACAATAGAAGCTCATGTCTCACTCATGTAAGGTCCAGTTTCAGCAGGGAGAATGTGCTTCACCAGTCACTGGGGGCTCAGGCTGACGGCCTCCGCCGTCTTCAGCACGAGGCTCCAAGGTTGCCCTGGGTGTTGGTGTCAACATCTGGCTGGTGGTGGGGTGGGGCGGGGAGGAGAAAATGGAGGATTGTGTAGGGGTTTTTCATGGGCTAGGGCCCCGAGTTTGTGTGTCACTTCTGTCCGCACCCCACTGTCCAGAACTTAGTCATTTGGTCCACTTAGATGCAAGTTGCACTGGGAATTGAGTCCCTGGCTGGGCAGACACTTCCCTGTGACAGGTGTATGCTCCGGAAGGGGAGCATGTGTTTAATGGACAGTTGGCAGGCTCTGCCACGCAGCGTCAGCCCAGGGTCTGACACATAGTAGGTGCTCAGTAAATAACAAAGGGTCTTAGGTACGTTGTATTTGGCGGGTACCTTCCAAAGTGCTTCACATGTATCAACTCATTTTGTCCTCATAGAAACTTGTAAGAGTGGTTACTATTAAGAGCTCCCTTTTACCGATGAGGAAATTGAGGCACAGTCTTAGTAACTCATCCAGGGTCACACAGCAGGAAGGGATGGAGACAGGAATCAAACCTCACAGCCTGGCTTTAGAGCTCATCCCCCTAACCACCACTTGGTGCTGCCTTTCCCTCTACATTCATGTTGACTTGAGCTGACATATGAAAAAGAGATAACGGATGTGAATGTGCTTTGTAAATTTGTAGAGTGAAATAAAAGCAGGGGTGGTTTTTAATGGGACTCTGGGGCATTCACGGAGCCCTGGCCACCTGTCAGACACTAAGCTCCCTCTCTCCCAGGTTCCTGTGGCATTTGGCATAAACTGTGGGTTTCATCTTGTTGGCCCCAGGCCTGGTCCCATACCTGGTACGTGAGAGGTGCTTAGGACACATTTTTCAATAGATAAAAAGAAAAAAACACATGCTGGGTTTAGAAAACAGAATGAACCAGATGTAGTTCTTGCCTTTAGGGAGCTCAGAGTAGGAAAGACAGTTAAAACATAGATTATGCCATGTGGAAAGTAGAGGGATGGAGAGGTGAACAGGTCCCCAGGGGACCACAGAAGGAATAAGCTGGATGTCTTGGTTTCCTGGGGCTGCCCTAACAAAGACCACACTGGATGGCTTAAGCAACAGAAATTTATAATCTCACAATTCTCAAGACTAGAAGTCCAAGATCAAGGTGTCAGAGGGGCTGGGAGGGAAAAAGCTGTTCCAGGCCCCTCCTGGTTTCTGGTAGTCTCAGATAATCCTTGGCTTGCAGGTGACATTCTTTCTATATCTTTACATCCTCTTCCCTCTGTATGTGTCTATCTTCAAATTTCCTTTTTTTATAAGGATGCAGTCATATTGGATTGGGACCCACACTAGTGACCTCAACTTGATCATTTGCAAAGACCTTCTTTCCAAAGAAGGTCCCGTTCACAGGTACCTCAGCATCTTTTGGGGGGACACAGTTCAACAGATATGTATTGAGTACCTACTATGTGCTAGGCACCACTGTTCTACATGCTGGAAATACAGCAGTGGACAAGACAGGCCACATCCTTCTCATAGAGCTTTCATTACAGTGGGAGTGACAGGCCCCAGATACACACACATTCCAGGTAACGCTGTGTGCTAAGAAGGAAAACGAAGCAAGGTCAGGGGCTAGAGCACTCTGGGGGAAACACATCCCAAGTCCCACCTCCCAGTGATCTGATGAGAAGACGACACTTCACTTATTCATACAGCCTCCATCCACGTGTGCATTCATTAACTCTTTGGTGTATTTACTGAGCACCCACCTGGCTTGGCTCTGGAGACACCCAGCTGAAGGGCACACTCTAAGCCTCATACTGATGAGCACGTTTCCCGGTCCCCACCTGCCTTTTCACACTCATTTCCGTGCACGTGCTTCATCCTCTCTCTGGAACGCCCTCCTCTGCCCTGCCCCATGTCACCTGGCCAGCTCCTACTCCTATCAAAAGTGTACATGGGCTTCCCTGGTGGCGCAGTGGTTGAGAGTCCGCCTGCCGATGCAGGGGACACGGGTTCG